TTATGAGAAAATAGCAGTGTAGATGGATAAAGTTAAAAGTGTGTGCAATGCCAGTTTTGTGCAATTCTGGGATGTTTTTTTAAGTAAAAATAAGTCGACGTGTAAATGGTTTATGTGTATGTGCTATTCTGAAAAACATGCAAGGAGTTTGCGATTCTGCACTTTTCCCCAATTTTTGCAGTTAATATTTGTCATGATTAAGCAGTTTTGTTACATAAAATTTTCTAGCATAAGTGTAATTCGGCTAGTAGATTGTTGGAAAAGTGTTGAGTAAATAAAAAGAAAAGAAACATGTCTTTACTTCGTGAAGACAAAATGGCGGCGAAAAAAAAATGGAGGGTTGCTGTAGCAGAGTTGGTCGCCAAATTTTCGCCAAAAAATCGCCAAGTTACCATAATTCAAAGATCAACCAAAATATCAGATGCCATTATAGTTCTTTTTAACAACTACATGCATGCCAGTTCCTGGGTAATTTCAGTTATCTTATAAATAATACTAATTGAGCAGTAGGATTTATATCAGTGCTTTCATTCATAGTTGAGGAGAAGAATTTAAACTGCCAATCTTTGGCTCTAACTGAGATGTTAGATTTTTACTGATGGCTTTAAGTCTGTCAGCATTTTTTGTGATGAGCTTAGTCTCAAAATCTTTTTTCTTGTCTGGACATAAAGCATCACAAAATAGGAGCATGCATTGCTTAATGAGCCCCTCATCACTGACTTTATTACTTTCAGCCATATGGTACGCTATAATGTTACTTGCATATGTAGCTGTTTCATGGGTATGTTTACTTGTTTAAAAGTTTGTCAACCTGATAATTCTTTACAAAAATTTTCAACTTTTTATTTTATTTCATATTCGAACATTGCTTCATAATTGAAATTCTTAAGTTTTGATGTAAAATGATAGGAAATGGTATATTCTTTGAAGATTGCTTTAGTTTGATTGCAGATGAAGCACACTGATTTATACTTTACAGCTCTAAGAAATATTTCCAGGTCCATTCATCCTTAAATGTATGACACTCTGAATCACTTTGTGTTTTTAGTGGTCGTTTTGAGATGAAATATTTTAAGAATATCCACAGTAACCCAAACAAGCAACAAGATACCTTTTAATTATTTGACCAGTATTTAACAATAATGCTCTCCATCTGCCAGCTTTCTATTAAGTGATAGATGCAATAAGTAATGCTAGAATTTGCCCACAAGCAAGTGTAGAAAAACATTCATCAATTCACTATGTAGTGTCGCCTATCATCCTTAATATCAATAATATTGCAAATATATAAATATAATTTTTCAACTTCTGTCAAGCCATAGTTTGCCCATCTCTAACCTAGCCTAATCTAATGTTCAGCACTGTGTTACGGAGGTATGGTAATTTGCAATACATCAAAAGGAGTAATGTTTGATCTCTTACCCCCATTAAAAAAATATGCAATTTAGGTTTTTACCACATAGTATCAATTTTTGTAATATTTCACAATAATTATTTAATTGTAAAAGATAGAAAATAGTAGTAATTCTAATCTTCGGATAAAGGTTTGCGGTTTCAGAATATGTAGCTCAAGTGGTAAATCAGAATATTTTTATAATCAGAAAACTAAGCTGTGATTATATCAGAATCTTCTAAATAAAGCCTCATAGTTTTTATAAAACTTTTTTTTTCCAATTTTTAGTGGTTAAAAAATAAATTATGACTGTGTCCTGGATTGGTTTGTTGTAGTTCTAAAACATAATTATAATAAAATTTATAATTAAAAATATTCTATTATTTTTTTTTAAAGAGTACCAATTTAAATTTCAGTTCATATTCTATAGCAGAACAAAATCTCAAAAATCAGTACATATACTCACTTTAGTTAATATTATACAGGTTGCAGAATTTGAATGGCCCATCTCTGCACACACAACTTTCAGTTTTTCTGTTTCAGGTAGAATGTCAGATATAATTTTAATAAGAAAAATTCAAGTCGATTTTATTGAAAATTTACTTATTTTATTATATAATTTTACTATGAAGTAGCAGAACATAAAAACTGGACAATTTTGCATATTTTGAAACAAAAATTGAAGTCCTTGAAAAGAGGACATATTTTAATCCTGTTGATAAGTCTGTTATAGTAAATTATGAGAATGGGATAGTGTTTTAAAATTATAATGCAAAATATAACTAACAAAGTTCAAGTTGATGTTTTGATATTTTTAACTTTAAAATGACTTTATAAGGTTTTTTCCTCCCTCTTTTCCGCATGCCTTTTTGGTGCAGTTGGAAGCATACTCAACGCATATTCAATAGGTCGAATCCCTGCAACAGCATTGCACATTTTTCATGTCTCCAGCTTTTTTTAAAAAAATTAATGACTTTACAACTTAAAATATTTTTAATGCGAATAACTTCGCATTATGAACTTAATCATAAACAAGAAATGCTTAACTTATCCATTTGTTGTTTTTCTTGAAAATTTTTATATTTACCTATCAATATCAACATTAAAATATGTCTGTATGTGGTGTATATCTGAAATATATAATTTCTTTTGATACATTGCACACAGTATGTTCATTTGGCGAGTTTTGGAATTTGTCATAAGATGTTCCCCCCTTCCCCAATGCCGGGCATTAGCCATTGTAGTCGGTCGTAACTTTATTGTGTAAGCACCTAATAGTAGGGTTACCATTGCCTCCTATGAAGATACAGACATTTTACATCCTTGCCTTCTCTGAGATTCAAACCAAAGCCGGGGCAAAAAATTGTGGTTCTGATGATAATACATGTTATCCCCTGACATATGTAGCTTTAGTTTTAAAGTTCAGTATGTTAGGAAAACATCTCTATCATACCAATTAAAAATTTTTCACATGTGACTCATTACAATTTTTAGAAAAAATTGCCATGAATCTGTTCAACATGAGATTATAAGTTTATCTTTTAAATTATAGTCTTACGTTGTAAGAAAGCCAACCAGTTTTAAGTTCAGAATTAGGTAAATTCAACCTTGTAGTACTAAGCTTCTTTGGAAAATCTATATATTTTAATGAAGACTAGCATATTGGCCCTTGTGTCCAGGAAGAAAAAATATGTTTGTATACAATGTCCTAATGTTGCTTTACAAAATAAATAAAATAATATACATACTATTAAACTACTGTTTGCTTGTGTTGCTTATCAGTATAACCAAGTGAACTTTTAAAAATAACAAAATTCTTAATAACATATATTTTTTAATGCCAACAAAATTGTTAGTAAAATAATTTCTTCATGAAATAATTTTTATGAATATTCACACAACTCGTAGCATGACAGTTTGCATACAAGAAGAACAGTAAATCATTACCTTCATTATAGAGATCTACCAATGGCTGAGAAGATATGACCTGTAAATATTGGTTGGTCATCTTGGCTTTCATAAAAAATGAAATGGTTGTATAGGATTTTTATTAGTTTCTTCACGTGTATTATCAGTGCATTCCAGTTTTCCTTACAAATTCTGGTCAAAGGTATTCCTTCTCTGATAGTTAGTCCTTAAATTTATAGGCCCACTAGCGGCCTAGCACTTAAGTCACTGAGCATGTGTAGTTTGACCTTAAATCAAATTCAAGTGAACAGGCTGGCTGCATGGTTGGTTTTCATGGTTTTTCCCATGTGTAATATAGTTGAGCCATCATCCCATAAAAAGTCTTCCATGAAAGTGTCCCTGGTGCTTTTCCGTTTTGTTGACAAAAACAATAAAGTCGCCAATAATGGTACAACTGATGCCAAACAGAGAATATCTTCACTGGTAACATTTTACGCTTCATTTTCAGAATAAGTTGCAGCCATTTCTTATCAGATTGATTGTTTCTTTCAATACTGGCATACAATTACATATAATTTTTACAAGATAGTTAAATTTTATGCCCTAAGACCATTCGCAGTAATTAAGTCAATTAGGATGCAATCACACTGCTCACTGGAAAGCGAAAATATAAAAAGGCAAAATCAAGGGTTAACTTCATCAATTCTAATGAGATTGCACTACCGAAGTAAAGCACTGCGGTTTTACATAATTTCTAAGTAAGCTATTCGTACGAATTGAAATAATTCTTGCATTTAAACTATTATTCCAAATTAAGATTTAACTTGAAATTATTGTAGATAATTACTGAGAGAATTAGATTTTTGTAATGTAGTTTACGTGAGATGAGATCACTTGGGATCATAAGATAAGAACCAGCGAATCAGGATGTTAAACCATGAGAGCATAGTAAATTCTTAAATTAATGTCTTTATACAAATTTATTGGCTTTTAATAAAATTTTAAATGATATTAAAATCAAACCATATCAAAATAAAAAATTCTTAGAACTAACATTTGTTAACATTTTTTATGTGTATACTGTATGCTGTCGCCAACAAAGTCTGCTTGACGAGATTTTAGTCGGCGAAACGGTAAAGTACCGTGTCCCTCCCTATAGGCACATAGCCTTTGAGTTGCTTAATTAATTTAAATTTATTTTCCATAGTAATAATCAAACTTATTTCATTAAAAGATTTCCAGTGAGACTGATATTTAGTGATTGCGCGAATCAAACTCTTAAAATCTTTTATTCAAGCCGTTAAAATCTTTTGTTGAAACTGCTGGAACCTTTTATTTAAAACTGCTGGAACCTTTTATTTAAAAAATGATAATAATCTGCCCATAACTATTGATTAACATTGAACAAGATTATAATTCTGGAAAATAGTTTTTTTTTACACACATGTAATAATCCCCTCCAAGTTTTGTTATGTATGTTCTTAGTGCTGTAATTATTAATATACCTGATGTTTCCTTATATTAAAAGATAATTCACAATGTTGTGCTCACAAATGTGCATGTTATTTCTAGTTAGTATTCTAATCATTATAATCATTATTACAATTCTAATTATTCTCCTTTCTCTTACATTAAATTTTCCTTGAAAGCAACTGCTCAGATTTATATAGTTTTTTAAATGACTAAATTTACTTTTTAGGCATGTTGAAGTGACTACATCTACAAATCATAAGTATGTATTTACTTTAAAATCATATCCTGGTTTTCCATCTGGCCAAATGGGTTTTAGTTTACCTATGGTAAGTGGTATAAAATTTAAAATATTTATCTTTTCCTAGAGTTTTGAAGCATTTTATTATGCAATTTATGAATATTAAAATTTCAGAATATGTTGAATTCCATGTTTCAAGTGTTCAAACAATATACTAACTTCAATATTTGTGATATTTGTAATAGTCATTAATCTTGATCCATGCCAAAATAGTATTTTTAATACCATGCTTTCCTGTCAGTCCATTAAGCACTTTTTTTTTTTTTTTTTTTCTTTTCTTTTTATAGAGGAAGTGGGCAGAATTATCTCTAGGTCAAACTTTAGAAGTAAGACCATACACATTTGATCCAAATATACAGTACATTGCAAAGATGACTATTGAAGTTGATTTTTTGGAAAAGAAAACGTAAGTTTTTCTTACAGCTTAAATATTTCCCTCTATATCTTATATTTTGAAGCTAATAATGTATTATCCCCAACAGCACGGTGTGGTCGCTGTGACATTGCAAACGTGTCATGCTGTGATGACCTCATTGTCGCAGCGATGTAGGTGTGGTTTAATGTTCACTCTCTGTGACGTTAATTGCGACATTTATATGAAGTTGCATTGTCATGTTGATGCATAATCGCACTGAGATGGTGTTGTGAAGTTACCCTTTGATATTGTTGTGAAGTCGCAGTGCAACATTCATACAAAAACACATTGTGACTTTAATATAACATAATAAAGTGCCTTTAGTGTAATATCACTAAAGATGCAAATGCATGTCACACAACCAGGGCTGTGGTGTCGGTAGGGAACATGACTGACTCCGACTCCTGAAATTTTAAAGACTCCGACTCCCCCATGTATATATATAAACATATACACATGCGTTACAGCTTATTTTTTTTTTTAATATGAAAGAAGTAATAGATGCTACAGGAAGAAACAAATTGATGGCATAGAAGATTATTTAATTAGTATGAAATGGAAAATTTTGCATTATTCATTTCTGTGAAACAGTATAGCTTTGGCAAGATCTTGTTTTATAGAGGACCGTAGATCTGATCTGATAAAACTTCAGACCTCAGAATAGTCTTTCCACATTAACTTGAATAGGAGGATGTATTGTTACTGTTAGGGCTACTTCTTTTAACTTTTCAGGAGAGATTTGTGTAAGTTCTAGAAGAGGTGTCTTACAAGAGCGATCATATTTCTATATTTTTTCAAGGACTGTGTAGAAATCTTTCTTGTATTTTTTCATTTTTATATCTAAAGGCTCTTGGCTCTTTATTTTCATTCACATTGCCTTAGCCTTTTCAATTGTCCAAATATTTCTCAAAGTCTAATTCGTCGTTAGAAGCGGATGATAGAGACTCAGTTGCAATGTCTGCAGTATGACTGCCCTGATATGAATACTCCAACTGGAATCTACATATATTGAACCGAGAAAGATCTCATTATCTGGCAAACAAGTTTCTCTTTTCTTCATTGAGGAAATGATTCCTTTTGCAATAAGACTTCCCATTTTAGAAAAAACAAACATCACATTCTCACAGAAACAATCCTCTGTTAATTTTTCAGATTGTAGCCCTTTTGTGGCTATTGTAGAAAGAAGAGTTTCCAATTCTGCAACATCATCCTACAGTTTTTCTGCTAGTGAAGCATTAGGGTTATCTACATCTTCTGAAAATGTTCTTAATTCTAACAACCTCTTTTATCATCACATATGTACTTCTCCATCATGTTGCTTGACTGCTCCTTTTCCTGCTCACCTCCTAAGAGTGGCCCCCAATTTTGGGAGTTCTTGCTACTATTGCTACTTGCCTAAATTTACCAACAAGATTTGTACCATAAGGTTCCTTCAACCCATCTCTAACAGCAAGTTGCAAGGTGTGGACTGCACAATGCATTTGCTTGACTTGACAGAGTTTTGATGACTCTTCAACAACATCATCTGAAAATCCATCCTCCTCCCTTATATTTATTTATTAATATGTCAACAAAATAGGAAATAACTAAATGTTTATTAATGTATATATTATTATATTTATTATTAATACCCATAAATAAAAATAATAACTGTCTGTCATTAATTTTTTTCAGTTCTCTTAATTTCATTTCAAATTCAAACTGTCCAACAAAAACTAGAGTCATTGTGGTTTTAGCGACTCCAGCTCTGACTCCTTTTACCCAAAAATCTGCCTAACTCCAATTCCGACATCATAGCCCTGCATGCAACCAACAAGATTTGTACCATAAGGTTCCTTCAACCCATCTCTAACAGCAAGTTGCAAGGTGTGGACTGCACAATGCATTTGCTTGATTTGACAGAGTTTTGATGACTCTTCAACAGCATCATCTGAACATCCATCCTCCTCCCTTATATTTATTAACAACATTACATTATAGCAACACAGGATTACTTTCTAAATGATAAGCAGGATGTACTCCTATTTCAGTAAACAGGTAACTACAACAATGTTTTAGTGATCTAGTAAGGATCCTCAAAATGTTAAAATTTTTAAATTCAAAATTTTGGAATTATTGAAAATATTCAACATAATCATTTGAAATTTTCTCATCCTACTAAGGTTGCATCTCACCCTATTAAGCTTATATAACTGCAATCCATTTATGTTTATTACATGTATGCATGACTCATAGTGTACAGAAAATGCAAAACATAGAATATGTGATGCAGAAGTGAACATATGGTGATTTTCTCAGCATATTATATTGCGAATACTTGTGAGTATATTACTTGTCCAGAAAGTACATAATTTTGCTTTCATTCTTTAGAATTTGATATTTAAAGACACTTCATAGTTTTCCAAAATTTTTGTATTGTATTAAAAATCTGAGTTTGTATTATAGCGTATTAAAAATTTAACTATATTTATTAATTTAACACCTTTTCCCACTCTTTCAAAATAGGAATATTTAAAAGAAAAATGCTTTGGCTTGAAATATTTACAATAACTGTATTTCTTATAATAATAACTGTTTTTTAATTTAATACCTTTTTCCCCTCATTCTAAACAGAAATATGAAAGAAAAATCTATTTTGCTTGGAATATTTTTTTTATTGTTAAGCTTTTAATACTGTTTTATATTCTCTATTTCTCTCTTCCTTAATTGCTTTTCTTCCAGAAAAAGTGCTAAATTATTTTGATAATTGGATGAAAGAAAAACATTTTGATAATTGGATGAAAGTATTACATTTATAGGACATTTACGTATTTGAAGATTTTGTTATATAACTGTTTCGTTTTGAATTAAAGGCTTTTGTAAATCAACAACACAATCATAGTTTCCAAATTAGTTGACTACAATCTTGGTTTTCAAATTAGTGATTTGTTGCTTAATCTGTAATACTGAACGAATAGTTATGGGTACAAAAGTCAGTAGCTGGAAAACATGGTTATGGAAACAAAATTACAGAAAATATATATTTATGTTTACTTATATTAGTTATACAAAACGGGCATGATCTTTCACCATTATTTCTCCATTGACAAATTACAATTTTATGAGATTTTTAAGCTATACATTTAAAATAACTCTTAACTGGACAGCATCAATATATTTAAATAATTGTATTAAGGTAAAAATATCTTATAATTTGTTTCATTTGATGATTAATGTGAATCACTTGTTTTAAATATTTCTACATCTCCTAAATGCATTTTTCTGTTCTCTTAACAATTAGAGATTAAATTTAATGCAGTTTTACACAGTTTAGTATGCAAAAGCATAAATTTGCATGAATTAATAATTCCAGTTTATAAAACAATCATTGTTACCAAAGCTGAATTACGGAAAATCTGTATTACTCACTTCTGAGAATGTACACTATACTATAACCTTCATAGCAGTGCCTAAATACTATTAGTAGCTCTTTTGGCAAATCATATGGTGAATGAAACAGCTGTTTATGTGATAAACTTCACAAGTTCCTTTATTAATCAACACATATGGGAAGTAAACACTCAGTGTATACTAACTTAAATGATTATAGCAATAATTAATATATAATTAATTGAAGAGAAATTAAAAAATTATTAAGAATGAAGTGATTATTGCCGAGAAAAATACTAGAGATGCATGAATTTTATAGAAACGCGAGAAAAATTACAATGATGCTTCTTTGCTAGCCATAAATTTCTGCAAACATAGAATGAAATCAGAACCATGTTTTAAACTTGGGCATTTTGAATTATTTTAATATGATTTTACAGAGCAAAGATGAGGATTCGGAAAAATATGTTGATGTAAAGATGAGGTAATGAGAGAGACTCATTCTTGCTGTTCTTCTCATTTAATATAAAAAGATTCAGTTTTTTATTCGATTTAAATAATATGAATATATTATATTTTACAATCCATAGTTTAAAAAAACTGTTACTTTAATCTAAATGAATCTGTACATCACAGAGCCGTACCATTTTTGGGCGAATCAGGCACTTGCCAGGAAAGAGGCACAAATATTGTATAAGTAAGGATTTGGAAGGTAATAAAAACGTTTAGGAGATGCAGTTATGAGATAAGTTTCAGATATTAAAATTTCATGATAAGGCTCTGATGCTGTTCTTTAAGGTATATCTTTTTTCCTTAAACTGGACTTTCTTTAAAATTTTAATTTTTTTTATTGAAATCAGAAAAGATTTCAAACTGTAAAGTGTCAAAAAGGCATCAATACATATTTTTACATTTATTTTATTGTTTTTTTACTAGACTGGAATTAAAGAAACATTTCCCATAGTATACTTTTAATTTAAGATAGATTTTTTTATGTCTGTAATATAAAAAATAGTTTTTTAATTCACTTTTAGCACAGTAAGTATGAAAACACATTTATGCCTTTCATTTTAGAATCTACGCAATTAAAACTAAATTTCAGTTAGTTTACTTTAAGCTTTCAAATTGGAAATTAACTGTATTTATGGAAATAAAAGGAATTACACTACTTAATTTTGTAGAAATAAATTTAACGACTTTTGTTAAAATTTAAAAAAATAGCGAAAATATATAACTTCTGCTTCTTACATTAAAAGAAATATTTGTTTGTCCTATAGTAAAAGGCAGTGCAATTATACGGAATTTTCAGATCATTCTATTGATTCTGCAGTAATTGGCTTTCTGCTATAAACAAATTTCAAAAAAAAAAAAAAAAAAAAAAAAATTTATGTGCTTCTATTTAAATGCAGCAAAGAAATGAAGTCTGTCCGAATAAAAAGAATTCCATGAAATTATATTTTACCTTAAAATTGGTTTTCTTCACCTGTATGGTGGCAAAGGCTTCATTTTAACGAATCAGTGTTTTATAATATGCAAATTTCCAAGTTATAACAATGGAATTTTTAACTTCCTTTGTGATTTCCTTTGTGTTTGTTTGTGAAAGATTTCTTTCTTAATTTTTTTAATATGGTTGCAGAAATTAGTATCTTTTCATTGTCTATTTCTGCAAGTGTTATGTTAAAGCAAAAGAGGTGATTAGGTTAGATGTAATTTTTAAATTTCTAATAACAAAATAAAATATCTTGCTTGCAGAAGTGAAATACATTAATTTAAAATAAAATTATTATTTCAAATCAAGATTATTGGTGAGGCTTAAATATGCATTTCGATTTATAGTAATTTTCATTACATTTATAAAATTTTCTACAGTAGGTTAAATTTTCATAAAATACAATTTGAAATTTGGTTTTTTTATAAAATGAAGTAACTTGTACTTTTGGAGACAGATTAATATTATTTTACACTCTTTTGTCACGTGAGATTTTAACTTATCTCTCAAGTAACAAATACTTTTGCATAGTTGGTTTTCATACTTTTCTTGGTATTTAAAGTGAATACGAGATAATTTTCCTTAGGAAGTCCTCCACAAAGGGCATTCCTTCTCTTAGGTGTACACAGCTCTCATGTGTTTTGTCATATTCAAATAACCTAACCCTACTAAGATTTTTTTTCTAATTAAATCTCTTAATAAGGAAATTGGATTACTTTAGGAACACAGCTTAAATATATTATACGTAAAAGTGTGACATAATTTGTGGAAAGAAAAGATTTAATATAATAAATTTTAAAATGATCTCAGAAATTTACATTAAGGAAACATATAGAAAAGTTCAGTATTTTAAAGTAATATGCCATTTGTAAAATTATAGTAATTAAAATAAAAATATGAAAAGTGTCAGGTTTTAAATTACGTCCAAAGGGGCTTTTTTTTAACGTTCTGTGTTTTACCTTTATTTATTAAATATCATGCTCTTTGCGCTTAAACCATAAAATTCAGTTCAACAGCAATGTAGCAAAATAATTTTAAAATGAGCATATCTTTAGAATTTCCGATACACAGTTCCACACGTTGGAGATAAAAAGGTTTAAAATTTCTAAGCAGGGAGGTAAAAAGGAGAGTAAACTTTCGATAATGCCCTTGCTTCTGCACTCTTTGTAATACATATAAAAGTTAATTAATTGTCAGTTCATTATTTCTTTTTGTTCATAGCATTTAAATTATGCTTTTATTATTATATATTAATTATTACTGATATTATTTACAGTATATAATGAATAGTGCCTACCTGAAAATGTAGCACTGACGATATGTTCAGCGAACAGAAAGAACATAACTAAAAAATGGTCACGAAAATCCTTAAGAGAAACAAACACTATGCAGACAGCAAACTCTTAGGTCAGCCTCTTTTGATATTACTAAATACGGTAGAATGTGACTGCATTCACCACAGAATATAGTTCAACGATTTCTAAGTATCACATCGATAAAAACATACTATAAACTGTCAATATTTTTAATTTTAAAAAAAAAAAGAAAGAAAGAATTGCAAGCTGTTAGCATAAAAAAAAAATTAGTTAGAAATGTTTTTTGAAACACATAACAATGAATCACGAGGGCAATGTCAGCACATAAGAATACCTCCCATTAAAAAAGAATTATGTGAGGAAGTTCAGGGTGGGGGAGACTGAAAAATTTCCTGTGGTCACATTAAAGTTTTGCTGTGACATTTACACCCATATCACTATATTATATTTCTGCGATGTTGTAGCATGGTCACAAATGTAATGGGGAAAAAATGTACTGTTGAGATGTGAATGCAATGTCATAGCAACTGAGTGTGCTATATGGGATGCTAATGTAGCTAATTAAAATGATTTAACTGTTTATTATTTTCATTTATTGTTATTTATATATTTCAATTTAAGTACTACTTTTGTCATATTATTTACATCAGTATACTTTATTTACATTACTTTCAATTTAAGTACTACTTTTGTTTAATAAAACCTTGTTTTTCTATCTTTTATGTAAATTTTTATTTTTACATATTTATTTTATTTTGCTAGCACAACAGAACCGTATGATACCGATAGAATGGCTACAGAATTTCTTGCATGTTTTTGTAAACAAGCTTTTACTGTGGGACAAATGGTAATGTTAAATGTTAATTTATAACTTTAAATAAACAGTTACTAACTGTGGCAAGCATTTATATTTTGAAGTTAAAGAGTATTTAATACACTTTTGTATTAGATTGTTTTAAGGTTTTTTATAATAGTTTTCTAAAAATCCATTCACCTCTTAAAATAATGTAAAATTTTGTTATGAAATATTTGAAATGCATGCATTTGAGTATATTTTGTGTTAAAGAGGCATGCTCTTTCTAAATATTCTTATTTATTGTATCATACATCAAACTTTAAGTTGTTAATTTTACCTATCATTGAATATTTTTTGATATTTTGAAAAAAAACCTACATCTTTTCACCTTCCTTTCACTTTAAAATTTATATCATTCTTAGATCTTAGAATTGAAACTGTCAATTTAAATTGTGACTTGCATTTAAAATATTTTGTATTTTAATAATTATTATACTTATATCCATCCGAGTTGTAAATAAAAACATTTGCTAATTTTCTTTTTATTTTACGTTGGCAGCTTTTAACACAGGTGATAAATGTGTGAGTAATAAGGATTATGCATGCAATAATAAAGATTAAGTCTTGCATTCTATTCGTTTTATGTTAATTAGTGCACCAGACTGTTAAATTTTTTGCATGCTTTAGTATATCATGATGTGCAGTAGGATATAGTTTTCTAATGTCAGTGTATTTAGATTTATGTAATTTTTTACATGACAAGTAAAAATGCATAAGTTTAAAAAAATTCTATTTTTTGTAAGCAAAATTTGGAAGTTCCCCCCCCCTTAATTCCACAGTGTATGGAAAATAAATCTTTGATTAAAATTGTAGAAATGTGTTTTTAACATTTTATATCATTATTGCATATAAATATCTGATTTTGCCATGTTTGACTCTGTTGAAATATAATGAAACTAGTATGTGTGATAATGTATATTTTAAAAACTATTGCTGTATAGCTACTAAATTTTTAATGCTTTTTTTCCTGTAGTTAGCATTCAGTTTTCAAGACATGAAGCTGTTGAAATTAATTATAAAAGAAATGGAAGGTAAGAATAAAAATTTGTTATGACTACATCATTCACTGAATAAATGTTAATGGTAATTTTCATTGTTATTAATGGTTTAAAAATTTTAATTTGTCTGAAATGGATCTAGAGCTTCACAGCATTGATGTAAAGTGAAGTGCATGTAGTGTAAAAAACTTAAAAAACTAGAACTACAGTTAAATTTATACAATACTCGCTGCTTATTCAAATCACTTCCATTCAAAATGTATTAAGTTTATTAAGCAGCTGAGTGTAATAAAGAGCGGTTTGTGCATTGCAAACTATGATATCATTTTAAACTTCTCAAGTAAAATAATAACTAACAAGTAATCCATTAAGTAATCCTAAAATAATGAACAATTTTTTTTTAAATTTTATAAAAATGTTCTTGTAATTACGTTCTTGGGGAAATTATCTTTTACAAACAACTATACAATCTTACTTGTTTCATTTTGTTCAACAATAGGTTTTCAACTGTATTCTCAGTTTTGTAAAACTTCTGTTAGCTTTTTTGATCAGCACCTTTCAGTTCAAAAATTCTTAGAGTTTGCTGTGTTTTTCTAGATTCGATTATTGTCATGTCATCGCATTTTCCTGTGTCCCTTTTGTAGTCGATTTCTGTAGTCCTTTTAACACAGTGCTCCATACATAGTCAGTTTTTGTACACATTATCTGAGTATTGCTGTAAAATGACTCGCATTCTAAAAATGAATTTTCATAACTTTCTTCACTGATGTTTGAAAAATTAACTTTTGTTTGTGATTCCTTTGAAGCTTGTTCTAAATAAAAGCTACATTTTAAAAAACCATTTTTAACTGGTTTTAAGAGATTAACCTCTTGCATTGATGAAAATATGAATGGTTTCTAGCAGAGATATTGAATTTATCTCCTTTGATGTGATTGCATATTTACAAAATTCTTTTTTGTTCATCATTTACTGAACATCTTTTGAAATTTGAACAAATTTGAAAGTTTATATAATACTGTAAAATGAATGTTAGAATGTAATGGTTGAATGTTGGAATTTGCAGAAAAACCTGAACAAACTGTAAATGTTGTGCAGTACAGTCTTTGATCCGGACGTAAATAATCCGGAATGATCTATAATCCGGACCTCAAAGCTACAAACTTTCTGCGTATGCGTAGAGTTTACGCATGTGCATTTAATGTATAATGGACGGTATAAACTAGGCTAAAATTATCTAATTATCTATTTCAATTAATTATTTTATAATATCTAATTATGTTGCAAATTGTGTAGTTCCTTAATCTTCTAATTGGATCCAGCTTATTATTTTTTGCAGACTGTTAGAGCAATTTTATAAAAAGTAAGCTTGAACTTTCGATTATGTCAAAAAGAGTTTCCGATTCTGGAGCTGCCAAAGGATCTACAAAGTGAAAACATGTTTCGATGCCCATTAAACAAAAAGTGGAATTGCTGCAAAAAATGGATAAAGGCATGAAGAAAGTGACAGAGAGGTTAGTGAAAACGAAAAAATTTCGATTGACGAGTTAGTTGGTATTCTTGGCATAACAATTACAGGACTTGAACAGCGGAACTTTATAACTGAACAAGAAATTATGTCTGTTTATAGAATTAAAGAGAAAGTATAAGCACATAAAATGAAGCAACTTAAACAACTTACACTGAAAGAAATGTATAATAAGATAAACAAATAAATATTAAGCTTTTCTTTTTGTTTGTTTGTTTGTGTGTGTGTGTGTAAGTATAAATTTTGATTCCCCTTTAGATCATAATTGCTCTTTATTTCATAAATTACGGTTTCATATTTTTAATTTTATAATTTCTACATGCCATCTTACCAGATTTAAATTGATGATCTATAATCCGGAAAAAAACCTAATCTGGAATCGCTAAGGTCCCGACGAGTCTGGATTAAAGACTTTGTACTGTATTTGCAGAAAGAGAAACTTATATTTTTCAGAAAAAAATCAAAAGTATGCATGCTCACAGCTATCTAACTTGTAAAGCTATTTTTTCATTTTTAGTTCACTGTCCTATTTCAAACAGAAATCAGCAAAAATGCAGAGTGTTCGCAAAGTCTCTAAAGAACTTCAACTGCTTATTTTTGGAAATGGAATAACTTTTATGTTTGGTTTTGGTCGCACTTTCACAAGCATGGTTCAAAGCTTTTGTGACAACTCGCATAAATTACACAACCTTTGAAGGCGACAAAATGAACTTTGATTGATCATTCTCCAACTTTAGACAAATTTAATTAATCAAAGTATCACGGTAAACTTTAAGCTGTTATTTATTCATTGAATAAAAATTGTCTAAAATCTTGTCATGCAATATTCTACACCATTCATTTCATGGTTTTTCCCATGTGTAATGTGTATACGAGCCAGTTTCCCTTAGAAAGTCCTCCACGAAGGGATTCCTTCCCTTAGGCAGATAGCCCTAGTGTGCTTTGCCATAATTAAATACACCACCACACCATCTACACCATTCACTTTCAGGCTGTCCCACTTCAGTTTCTTTTTGACATAAGAATTTTCCAGATCCCCAAATCCTCACTTTAAGTGTATATTAAAAAAAATAAATTTTTCGGGAAAAAACTTTGATATACATGTAGTAACATTCCAAGAAATAACAATACTATTTGTTATATGGTGGCGCACGAGCGGCCGAGTGGTAAAGTCACTGAACACGTGGTATTTTGGTCCAATGTTCAAATTCCGTGAATGGGCTGGCTGCATTTTCGTGGTTTTTCATATGCAGGGGTGTTAGTGCTCCAGGGAAACCACGGAAATCCCATGCCCGGAAATTCCGGGGATCGTCGTTCAAAAGGAAGTAGGAATAATAATGAATTATTTATTTTGATCTGGGTAATTTTGTTTGCTTTAAAAGCAGAAAATGCGACGTCAGTGTGTGTGGTGAAAACTTTTCCTTTCTTTCTCCAAAGGCAGTGATAATGTGTGAAAAGGGGGGGAATTTCTTTTTTGTTCTTTCCTTATTGTGAGTTATGACTCATTCCCCCAGTTCTCGGACTTTCTCTTCTGGATTCTTTTCGGCAAGTAGGCGCGGCAGAAAAAAAAGGGAGAGACTTCGTTCGACCAGATGTGCAATCACGTGACTCTGGGTTCAAAGGTCTCATCTCTCCTGGCGTGGCGCCAATAAGTAGAGAAAGGGATTTTTCGCCATATTAGCTATTTGTCATTGATCGCTTCTCGACTTTTTTTTCTCCACTGTGTAAAATTTTCGTTTCATTTATTGATGCACGTGTAAATTTTTCGTTTCATTTATTGAAATATTTTTTTATTTATGTACGCAAGAGAATTTCACTATGAAATTTCTCGATATAAATAGTGATATTATACAATTAGAAGAAGGTGTCCGGAATGCATTTAGGTAGAATTAGATTGAACGGAGAGATGGTAATGGGGATACCATTGGCACATGGTGCAAGAAAATAAATGTTGCTGGACGAGCATATTGTGTTTTTTGTAACTCACTGCTGAAGTATGGTGGGGAAGGATTCAAGGCTTTCACAAATCATTCTAAAACTGTGACGCGCATAAAATATTCAAAGTGCATTAGACATTCAATGACTTTAAGTAATTATGCTAATTCAAATAATACTGATGACTTACTGGAGACTGATGCTCGGCCGTTGGATATAGTGACAAGAAAAGCACGCCAAGAGGTATTAATAACTTCGTTTATCGCTGAGAATTCTCTTTCTTTCAATGTAGCTCCCAATTTAATTGAACTCTGCAAACAGTTGAGCTGCGATCAGATGGCACTAAACTCGTTGGAAATGTCCAGGACTACTGCATGTTACAAGATGAAATATGGGCTTGCAAAAACTATTAAAGAAAATATCATTAAAACTTTAAAGGAGACTCCATTTTCTCTAAATTTGGATGAAAGTACTAGCAATGCTCAAGAAAGTATACTGGCAATATTGGTGCAGTGTTATGACAACAATCAAAATGAAGTTGTAGTTCATCATTTTGCATCTCTAAAAATGGAATCTTGCAATTCAGAAGCTGTTTTTAAAGCAGTTGTTAATACTATTGAAGATAATAATATTCTATGGGGAAACTTAATTAGTGTATTAATGGACTCATGTAACACCATGTGGGGGAAAAAAAGGGTGTTGAAACCAGACTACGATCAAACAAAGCACCTCACTTATTAGATATTGATGGTGACACATGTCACACAGCTAATAACTGTGCAAAAAAATTTGTTTCATGTTTTTATAGATACTTAGAGATTTGTTTGATGACATCTACTTTGATATGAAAAGCTGCCGTAAAAGAGAAAATTTTTTCAAAAATCTGTGAATACCTTGCCATTAAAAAACTTATGCCCTTGAAGAGACCAGACCATAGGTGGGGGTACATTTTTTGTGTTTTAGAAAGAATCAAAGATCTGTGGATGCTCTTATTGCATTTTATTTTCACTACTTGGATAAACGATAAAGGGGATTATTTTTCTTATGTTGAAACTGTATACAATAAAAGAAATATTCTGCAGCAGCTCAGAAAAAATTGTTGAAGCGGTGTATCTTACTTGCATTCCCAACAACTCACAAAGGATGCTTTAGCTCGGAAAAAAAGAATACTAAATGGGTTATTTTGTTATGCAAAAACAAAACTTTATTGCATATGGCATTATATCCAGCAGTATTACCAGAGTTCAACACATATATTAAATTATTTGAAACAAAAAAAACCAATGCTTCATTTAATACATTCCAGTATTTATAAATGATGGCAAAATGTTTCTCTTTTTTTATGAAGCCAGAAAATATAGAGTGCACATCTTATAATGATTTATTAAAGGTTGATCTCACAAATCCAGAATTCCATCTACCTAGCAAAGTAATATTTATTGGTGCAGAAGCTTCCACTCTCCTGAAGAAATTATCAAAAAATCATCCAATACCAAAAGAATTCCAAATTTCTCTGATGAAAACTTATACTAATACAGCACAGCATATATCCAGGTAATTTAAAATATTTAC